TGTAATATAAATATGAATAAATAAGATTAATAAAAATATAATATATAAAGTTATTTATCAGTATCATTTAAAAATGTTGGATTGTCATATATATAGTGTTTTTGATAATTTTTTCTTTTCTCTATTATTATTAGATGTACTATTTTCCAATTGTGATTTATTTTCTGTCAAAATATTTGAATGATGTTTTGTTTCCAATACATCTTTTGATATGTTTGAAGATATTGTTTTAGAAAATCCTGAAATAATATATTTAATATACTTTGAAATTAAATTATTATTGCCATTATTATAATAATTTCATTATTAAAATATAAGTATGAGTTTTGAATTTTATTAAAAATAAAAGTACCAGATATATCAATTTCCTGTAGTTGTAGTTGTTTACGAAAAAGTATTTCAAAATTGGAAAACCTTTTTAAAGAATTTTGATTATCTTCTATTAATTCTTTAACTGTTTTACGTTTTCCAGAAGAAGATAATGTAATATTGTCTTTTAAATTAAATATTTTCTCAGTATCTATTGTATTTTGGAGATTTTCAGCTATATTTTTTGCATGAATGTTAATATCATTTGATATATCTTTTTTCTAAAAAAAAAAAGAAAAGATTAAATATAAAATGAACTATATAATAATGATTTATTATATTACCTTAATAGGATAAAATAATTTAATTTTATATTAGCAAGTACATGAACAAATGTATTTAAACGATGATGTAACATAGCTAAAAATTGAATGAATAAAATAAAAACAAATGCAACAATAAAAAGACATCCAATTGGTTCCAAATGCATATATTTTCTATATATATGTATCTGAAAAAAAGATTATTTATGATAAGATTAAAATTAATCAAAATATTAATATTAATTTAGAATATTTTATATTAAAAAAATAAGACCTACTTCATATTCATCAACATAGGTGATATTATATAGAATAGCAAAAGGCCATTGAAAATTTAAAATATCTTTGTTTATTTGTAGTAAAAATATTGCTATTATAAATGTTATATTTATCATAAAAAATTTTAAAAGATATTCATTACGCATATTTATCAATTCCTTTGTAATATTTTGCTAAAAAAAATTAATTGTAATATTGTAATAATTTTTTATTGAATTTTTTAATTTTATTAATTTAATTTTTTTTAGAAATCATACTTGTTTTTTTATATCATTTTCAATAGGATATAAATATTTTTTAATCAATTGTTTCCAAAATTCTTCTTCTTCAAGAGAAAGAAAATCTATTTTTCCATTCTTTAAACGTTCATCTTGTAGCCAATAAGGATTTATTAAATAATTTGAATTTTCTTGATAATCATTAATAAAGGTATCTTTTGAAATTTCAATTTCAGAATCTGTATTTCTACCTAAGTTTTCAAATACTTGTAATTTTATTTCTTTATTATATGTTTTATTTTGATTATTTTTTTCTTCTGTATTTTCTTTTGATATATTGATAATATCATTATCTCTATTTTCTATATTATTTTTTAATACATTGCTAAAATTATTAAAAATTTTAATTAAATTGATTGTAAAATAATTATAAATTTATTGTAATACTTTAATATTTATAATTTATAAATATTATTATAAATATTATTATATTAATACTAAATAAATTTATTGATATATATTATATTTATAATTATATATATAATTATATTGTAATACTTTATAATAATTTAAATTTTTTATTAATTAAGTACCTTTCTATTTGTTTTAAACGAAGATTAATTTCGTTTATAGAATTATAAATGTATTCTAAATATTCTTCTGTTTCTTTTGAACTATTGTGTGTATAAAATGTACATTGAAATAAATGAGATAAACAAGATTTTGTCCACTTATTTGTAGTTTTCTCTTGTTTACATTGAGATTCCTTTAAACTTTGCTGTTCTAACATCTAAAAATAATTGTTAATTTAAGTTATATGAAAAACTAATAATAAGAAGTAAAATATAAATTAATAAAATAAAAAGTTAATTATTTTTATAAAATTTTACTTGTCTTGATTTTGATTCTCTGGTTCCCCATGTAATATTATGTAAATTGAAAATAGAAAAAATAATTAGTAACATATACATAGAAGGTACAGTAATATAATAAATGATTCCATTAGGTAAACATGATAATTCTTGAGGATGCAAAAAAGCTGTTATTATAAATTGAATAATCACAATAAAAAATAAAAGAGTATTAGGGGTAAAATATCCATCTGTTGCAATTTGTAGTATTATTCCAACTAATACAACTATCATTACTAAAGCATATATAATAGTGATAATTTCTGCTGCTATAAGCTATAAAAATATTAATTAAGATATATAATTTAATTTTATTAATAAATGATATTTTTTAAATTAATATATAAAATATTGATAATTTAAGTAATTACCTGTATGCGTTCTTGGCAAAAAAAACATATTAAAATAAAAATAATGATTGGAATTGAATTATACCAGAAACTTAACCAGTTATCTAATTGAAAGGAAGTTACAAATGCCCCAACCATCATTAAGTAAATAAAAGATGGCCCTATAATTGTGCTACCTACAAAAAGCAATATAATAAGTAAACAAGTAAAATAATAAATAAATATTTAGAAATAGTTTAATGTTAAAATCAAATTACCTGTTAAAATCCACTGATAAGTTACATAAAACCAAGAAATATTATCATTAAGTTTTCTGGTTTCTTTTGAATTATCTAATAAATCAAAAATATTAGCCATAGTTGAAGGAATCCACCGCCGACGTTGAATATAAAATTCTTTAAATGATTCCGGAGCATGTGTATAAGCATCACTTGCTGCACAATATTCTACCTAATTAAATTAAATAATTATTTATATATATTTTTTAAATATTTTTATTTAAAATATATTATAAATTTTTTTTACTTTACAACCAGCTTGTAAAATTAATGTACAAAGCCATCTATCTTCTCCTTGATCATATTGAATATAATGTCTGGGTTCAGTTGATTTTGTTGCATATTTAGCTATAACATTATGTTGCATTAAAGCTTTTATTCTAAAAAGTGAAAAGCAGCCTGGACTACAAAGAACGGAGCCTATTGTATGTTCTGTTGATTTTTGAAGCCAATGTCCCATAGCATATTCAAATTTTTGAAACCAAATCATGGGACCTATATATAAAAATATATTTTTAAATATATTAAAATGATATATGAAAAAAAATTAATTTTTAGTAAATTACAATATAAATTAAAAGAAACAAAAATACATTTCTTCATTTTTATATATTATATTTATGTGGAAATACCTTTTCCTATTGGATGTATTCTTCCACAAGCTGCACCTAATTCTTGATCTTTCTTCATTAAATCTAACAATGATTTAACAGCAGTCGGATGAAAATCAACATCTCCATCTAAAGTTAAAATATAAGTATTCTGTGCCATTAATTCTTTAGTATCAACATCTACTGATGTACTCATTAAACGATACCCAAGAAAATAATACATATACATGACCTAAAAAATATATATACATTATAATACATTGATTATATAAATTAATAAATATATATTAATATATATTATATTAATTAATATAATAATATAATATAATATATATTAATATATATTATATTAATTAATATAAAATAAAATAAAAATATAAGTTACATTTAAGTTATAAATATATAAATATAAGTTACAAAAGTTAGATTTAAGAAAATATAATTTTGTTTTATATTTATTTATAATATATTTCTTTATAGTAACTTGTTATTAGATATACCTGACTCCATCGTTTTCTGTGTCTAATTTTATTTTTATCTTTAAGATGTACTGTTAGATATGTCTTTCCAGGTAAATTCCAAATAAGTTGACCACCATAAGGTGTTGGATATTTAGTAGGTGGTAAATAAAGTATGCCAAGATCCTTTATATTTTCCTGTATTGTTTCTATAAATGTTGCTACATATTTATTTATTTGTATTTCATTTTCATTATGATTACAAAATCCAATACAGCCATGTATACAACAAAATGCATCATCAAATATTATATGTGCTGAAACAATTCATATGTATTATTTTTATTTAATATTTTAAAAATTTTATTCAAGATAATTTATATATTGTATATACTAATTACTTTCAAGTTCATAATAATCATTGATAGAAATTTTGTAATATTTTTGTGTGACTTTCATAGCACACTGGTCTTTATCTAATCTTAGGATACTTCCGATTAATTTGTTCATTTCTTCTTTATCTTCATGCCACATAGTTGCACAAACATAGATTTGAATAAAATCAGTAATTCTTTTGTTGCTTAAATCATTTTTAGAAATTGTTGAATAAGAATTATTCAAATTTTGCATTTCTTTTGAACTGCTAATCTGAAATAAAAATTTTAACTTAAAATTAAGAATTATATAACATTTTATGAAATATTAAATAAGATAAAACCTTAAATTCTGTAACATTTGAAAATTCTTCTTTCTCCATAATATGATTATTTTCATGTCTTCTCTTATTTAATCCCAAAAATTGATCAATTAGAAATGAATCATAACTAGATTGATAGAAAATTTTTTCTACAGGAGCGAGTTTTTCATTTTCACCAAACCAAAGCTGCTTTGTAATCCAAATCTGTGATAACCACCATATTAACCAACACCAAATACGCCAATTTATAAGAAATTCTCTTATATTATTATATATAGGCATATTTAAAAATAAATAATCTGGTATTATATTATGAAAAGCACATGCATCTTCTCTTCTTAAAACACAAAATATTATTATTAAAAAAATTGTTCCTGGAGTAATTAAACTCATTGGAAAAGCAAAACCAAATTTATGCATTTTTGTTTGATATGCAAATTTTGCTGCAAAAATATTAAATATTTTTTAAACTTATAAAATATAAAATAAAAACTTGTAATTTTTATAGTGTATTATTCATAATAAAACTATATCTCACCTGTTTGATATATAAAAAAGCCACAAAATGCTTGTATTAAAAAGCTATATAAAGGTGCAGAAGAATCTACAATAATATCTACAATATTATTAAGATATAAATTTGATAATGACACATTTTCTCTAAGAGAAAAATTTGGTGTTTGAATTAATTCTATGTTATATGTATTTTGCCACATATATTCAAAGAATTCTAGTATTTGAATTTCTTTAAAAATTAAAATCACTATACTGCTTGAAATAAAAATCAAACATCTCCAAATTGCTACATATCCTTGTAATACATAACAATTATTTGATAAATCTGTTTTATTTTTTGCTAATGATTTTATAAAATCTATATAAAAAATTATATAATTATTTTCAGAAAAATTAAAAATATAAATATCAAATATTTTAAAATTAAAAATATTACCTAAATAACTATAATGAGATACATAATTATACCACCAACGACAAGAAGATAATAAGAGTGAAATAGGAAGAATCCATGTTAGAGGATCTTGTACATCATTTAAAATAGAATATAAAATAATTCCTAAACCTTGAGCAATTAGTGCTAAAACATTGAGAATTAGAACTAATATGAATATGGTAATTCCACTTGAATATTTGTGATGTTGAGTAAGTAAATCTGTAATAACATATAAATTCATTAAATATCTTTCCTAAATTAAATTTTATAAAACATTTACTTAAAAAACTTATTTATTTATATAAACTTACTTAAAAAAGTAGGAATAAAACAAATACAACTAGAAATTCCAGCAACATCTATAGAATTAAGTTTTGGAAGACTATAAAAAATTAATAATGCTATACCAATTGAATGAAGTGTTCCAGAAAAAAAAGAATTAGAATATTTTGTTCTTAGGTAATTTTACTTCTTTTTGAAAAAGAAATTCCATATCGCATGAAATATAGTAAAAAATTCTGGTATAAGGAACATAAAAATAATATGCCAAGTCCAAATTACTTTGCCCCTCTTGGAAATTTTTGCTTCTAATTTTTGATTATATTCTACAATATGACATTAAACATTATTATTAA